CCTCGGCCTCCCAAAGTGCTGGGATTACAGGCTTGAGCCACCGCGCCCGGCCTTGCAAACTATTTTAAAGAAAAAAGCTTATTCCCCTCATATTCCAGTTTTGAGGACAGATGTGGGTATCTGACAGGCCTGAGTTTCAGTACAGGATCTGCCCCCAGTTAAATACATGTCTTTGGACTTAAGTCTCAACTTCAGTTTCCTCAGTTGAGAAGTAGGAATAATAATGCTGACTACACCACAGGGATGTTATGAAGACTAGATATGATAATACACATAAAGGACTTAGTGTGGTACCTGGCACATGGTCCATACTTAATTAGTGTTCACCGTAATTGTTGTTGCCATAGTTCTTTATTGAAGACTTGCACATGAAGAAACCGATATATAATGAAGAGAGTCCGTGGGAGTGGAGGGGCAGGCCCCAGTACTCACCTCTTCAGCCTCATCCCCCAAGTGGAGGGCTAGTTTGGGCCCATTCAGACCAGGAAGTCCCTGCGAGAAGGTTGAAGGTCCTGAGAGGTTTGGGTCATCTTTCCCAGACTGTGGGAGTTCAGGATGGTTCTGGAGAGCCTGATACTAAGACCAGTCCTGAGAGTCACAGTTCCTCCAAGGAAGACCCCAACAAAAGCAGAAGCAGGCCGGGCGCCTTGGTTCATGCCTATAATCCCAACACACTGAAAGGCTGAGACGGGCAGGTAGCTTGAGCTCAGGAGTTCGAGACCAGCCTGGCCAACATGGTGAAACCCTGTCTCTACAAAAAATACAAAAATTAGCTGGTCGTGGTGGCACGTGCCTGTATTCCCAGTTACTTGGGAGGCTGAGGTCCGGGGAGGATCACCTGAGCCTGGGGAGGTCTGGGCTGCAGTGAGCCATGATCATGCCACTGTGTTCCAGCCTGGGTGACAGTAAGACCCTGTCTAAAAAAAAAAAAAAAAAAAAAAAAATTAGCCACTGTGGTGTATACCTGTGGTTCCAGCTTCCTGTGAGGCTGAGGTAGGAGGATTGCTTGAGCCCAAGAGGTCAAGGCTGTAGTGAGCTATGATCACACTACGGCACTTCAGCTCTGTCTTAAAAAAGAAGCAAAACTGGCTGAGCGTGGTGGCTTATGACTGTAATCCCAGCACTTTGGGAGGCTGAGGTGGGCGGATTACCTGAGGTCAGGAGTTTGAGACCAGCCTAACCAACATGGAGAAATTCCATCTCTACTAGAAAAAAAGAAAATACAAAATTAGCCAGGCATGGTGACGGGCATCTTAATCCCAGTTACTCGGGAGGCCGAGGCAGGAGATTGGCTTAAACCCCGGAGGCAGAGGAGATTGCAGTGAGCTGAGATGGGGCCATTGCACTCAGCCCAGGCAACAAGAACAAAACTTCATCTCAAGAAAAAAAAAAAAAAAGCAAAACCAGAATGAGCCTTGAAGTGCCCAGGGTCTGGCCTTGGCCGCTGTAACCAATCCAGTGACTGCAGGTGCATAGCCCCCTCAGTCAACTCTCAAGGGCTCCCCAGGCCAGGCCTGGTTTCCTAAGGCTGGGAGTCAAAATCAGAATTCTGCTGGGAGGGGAGGCCATGTTCACTAATTGTGCCCATGCCAGTATACTATTCTTTTTTTTTTTTTTTTTTTTTTTTTTGAGGCGGAGTCTCGCTCTGTTGCCCAGGCCGGAGTGAAGTGGCATGGTCTCAGGTCATTGCAATTTCTGCCCCTTGAGTTCAAGCAATTCTCCTGCTTCAGCCTGCCGAGTAGCTGGGATTACAGGTGTCTGCCACCACACCCAGCTAATTTTTATATTTTTAGTAGAGATGAGGTTTTTCCATGTTGGCCAGGCTGGTCTGAGACACCTGGCCTCAAGTGATCCACCTACCTTGGTCTCCCAAAGTGCTTGGATTACAGGCATGAGCCACCATGCCTGGCCTCTTTTCCTTTCCTTTATTGCAGACTTACGCTCTAGTTCTCTGCTTCCTCTTTACCACCTTTCCACTCTCCTTACCTCCCCAACATTCACATTACCAGAAGCCTTTGGGAGAATACGTTTCCTTACTGGTTTGTTTACCTCAAATTTATATTGATTAACTTTTGACCACTCTAGGAATTTTGATCTGGGTAATGTAGGAAGTTGAAGAAGAAAGTATTGAGACTCTTTATCGATGCTTTTTGATAGCATTTGTGTACCTGAAAATACTCTTGGGGCCAAGATAATGACCCTAACTTTAGGGGAAGATAAGGACTAGGTCACTGAAAGATTGAATTTCCCTCTCAACCTATAGTTGTGATTTGTTATATTGCAGGGAGAAAATATCAGATACACAGAAAGACTGGAAGTTCTTTGAGGTGAGTCACTTATGTTTTGGGGCTTCTTGATATGAAATAATGTATTACAACAACCCATGGCCATTTGTCAGGCACTTATTTTTAGCAGATATCCTTTCTAAAAAGGATGCTAACAAGCTATATGCTATACCTTAAACTGTTGGTCTGATTTTCTTCCTGCAAAAGGGAGTACATGCATAATTTTGTAGTGTTTCAGGAATATGGAGAAATTGGGTCATCTGGGTTTGTGTCTGCGTAGCTGTGTTGTACAGACAGGTGGGAGTTTTCCATATCACAGCTGAGGATTGTGATTCGTGTCTATTTTTTGATGTAGTCCTTTTATACTTTCTGTACATATGTGGCTTGGATTGTCTTCCGACGTCAACACTTGACAGAGATTGAGGAAGAAATAGGGAGACTTTTTCGTACCAATATGTTCAACATTCCTCGCAGGAGGCGTGAAAATGAGGAATCAGGAGGGGAAAAGAAGCGCATGACTTTTGTTCAATTCAGGTATGACTTTTTGACTTTCCTAGGCTCAAGACCTAGACTTTTCTCTCTCCTTCCTTCCTTCCTGCCTCCCTCCCTCCCTCCTTCCCTCCCTCCCTCCCTTCCTCCCTTCCTTCCTCTCTCCCTTCCTCCCTTTCTTCCTCAGGATTTCATTCTGTCACCCAGGCTGAAGGGCAGTGGCATGATCACAGCTCACTGCAGCCTCAACCTCCCAGGCTCAAGTGACCCTCCTGTAGCTAGGACTGCAGGCATGCTGTCTCACCTGGCTAATTTTTTAAATTTTTTGTAGAGACAGGGCCTTGCTATGTTGGCCAGGTTGGTCTTGAAGTCCTGGGCTCAAGTGATCCTCCCGTCTTGACCTCCCAAAGGGTTGGGATTACAGGCATGAGCCACTGCACTAGAAAACAGGGTGGTATGACCTAAATGTCACCTTCCTCCCCCACAGGAGAATGATGGCAAAACGCCCAGCAATTAAAACAGCCATCAACATGCGTTCTCCAGTCATGTCTACTCTGCTGCCATCTCTCAGAGAAAAAGCTCAAAATGTCTTTGAGAAAAAATATCATCAAGTAGGTGTCAACTTGCCAGCCGAGATGGAAAAGCATGTGGGAATTCTGGACTCTGTGTCCATGCCAGTGTAAGCAGCCCAGTAAGAGAAACATGAGTGCCTAGAGGTGGCATCCCAGGTGGGGCTGGAAGGGGCAGGGGCCCAGGCGCCATGCGTCTGCCAGGGAGTCTAGCCATGATGACCACCCCCATTGTCTTACTTCTGCCCTGATCTCCTCCTGGTTTCTTTTCTAGAGAGTCTTGAGGTACATCCATCTAGACCAGGAAAAAAAATTGCTAGAAAGCTGTGCTAGACTCCAAATAGCTTTAGTTTGGAGGAGTGAGTAACTGAATTTTTTTAAGGCTGAGGTTTTTCTATTAGTAGAATCACCTTTGAGAAATGTGGGAACCACTAGTACAAAATCTTGCTTTACTTTTGGACTCATATATAAGACTACAGGGCCAGGTCAATATGGTGAAACCCCATCTCTGCTAAAAAGTACAAAACTTAGCCAGGCATGGTGGCACACGCCTGTAGACTCAACTACTCGGGAGGCTAAGATGGGAGAATCGCTTGAACTCGAGAGGCAGAGGTTGCAGTGAGCTGAGATCGTGCCACTGCACTCCAGCCTGGGTGACAGAGCGAGACTCCATTTCAAAAAAAAAAAAGAAAAAAGACTACAGTGGTAGTTCATAGAAACAGGGAAAGTTTTTAAAAAGAGAGAGCGTATCTCAGCTTTCATGTACATACACATGCACAGACACACACACAGCCACAGTCACAATCGCAACCCTGCATGGCAGTCTTTGGCCTCACCACTTCAGCTATCCCTATAATTCTTTTCACAGAGTTGGCATCTTAGGGGAGCCTCGATGTCTATTCAACCCATGTACGCTTCACCTCCTTGATCCAGAGGAAAACACAAAATCATGTGAGATATTCTTCCCTGATGGAAAAAAATAGTATGAGGATTCAGGATACACTGGACTTGGTTATGAAGACACTGTCCTCTCAAATGTCGGGCCCTAAGTAACCTGGTGCATTCCATTTCTGTAATAAGTCCCTGTATTTCAAGTAAACTACTTTGACTTTATAGAAGATGGCTATTTGTTATTATTATAAAGCTTTAAATTTTTTTGTTGTTGTTGTTTGAGACAGAGTCTTGCTTTGTTGCCAGGCTGGAGCACAGTGGGCAATCTCGGCTCACTTCAACCTCCGCCTCCCGGGTTTAAGCGATTCTTCCGCCTCTGCCTACCAAGTAGCTGGGACTACAGGCGCGTGCCAAATGCCCGGCTAATTTTTGTATTTTTAGTAGAGACGGGGTTTCACCATATTGGCCAGGATGGTCTCGATCTCTTGACTTCGTGATCCACCTGCCTCGGCCTTCCAAAGTGCTGGGATTACAGGTGTGAGCCACCGCACCCAGCCAAGCTTTTAAAAATTTTTTAAACTATCTAGTTTACAGTACAACAGTAGACAAAAAATTCCTGAAAGCTCTTAAAAAGCTCATTTTCCTATTTTTAGTAGCGTGATTTGTTTTTTATTTCTTTCAGCTGTATTTGACCACTAAGAGTAATGTATTAGAACATTTAGCCAGTGCTCTAGTGTATTAGTGAATAAACATTCTGCTTTTCGCTTCTCAAAAAAAAAATTTTTTTTTTTTGAAATGCAGTCTTGCTCTGTAGCCCAGGCTGGAGGGCAGTGATACAATCTCAGCTCACTGCAACCTCCACCCTGGGTTCAAGCAATTCTCCTGCCTCAGTCTCCTGAGTAGCTGGGAAGTCATGTGCTACCACACACAGCTCATTTTTTTGTATTTTTAGTAGAGATGGGGTTTCACCATGTTGACCAGGCTGGTCTCCAACTCCTGGCTTCAAATGACCCGCCTGCCTCAGCCTCTCAGAGTGCTGGGATTATAGGTGTGAGCCACTGTACCTGGCCTTGTTTATTCATTTCTAAGTTCATTTTTGCCTTATGAGATGTCTTCTTTGGTACATGTGAAGACAGAACTTCATAATCAAAAAGGCAAATTAAGACTTTTTAACATTAAATCTCTTTCTATGACTATATTATTATTATTACTGCCATTGGGATATAAGTTATATCAGATTCATTTAGAAGCCTTTTAACATTCTTTCATTTATTTATTTAACAACAAATATATATTAAGCCCCTATTCTATCCAGAGCCATGTACTAGGTTATATAGCAAAAAAGATGAAGACAAAGACAATATCCTCCAGGTTTGTGTAGTAGAGAAGATAAATGAAATACATATATCATCATAATATAATATTAAATATGTTATTGGCCACAAAGGCAATAAATACACGAAGTGCCTCAAGAAGACAGAACCATGGAGAAGTGAGTTCTGGGGGCAGCAGGAGAGTTCTAATTTGAACTTAGCTCTGAAGGGATTTGGTGGTAATGAACTTCAGTCAAAGGAAGAGTGCGTGCAAAGGCGCAGAGATGGGAAAGTGGACCCTGTGACTGCAGAGTGCCAAGCGCACGGTGTTTGTGGCAGGCAGCCAGAGAGAAGGCCAGAAAGGTCAGCTGAGCCCTGAACATCCAGCTAGGGAGTGAGTTGGATGTTATCCGGTGGGCAGTGCAGACAAAGAATTGCTAATAAAACCAATTTACTTGATGGAATACAGAGCTGTTGATGATGTAATATTATCATTTTAAAAGTCCTGTAAGGGTTTGGAGTTTAGTAACCTAAAACAACTGGACTCAACTTGCCAAGGACTATCCTCAGACTTCAACATCCTCTTCTGGCATTCAGCTTCATAGAAAAACTGGACACCTTTCCCAGACTCAATATCAAGGGCAGAGGAACATCAGTTCCAGATACTGGGGCAGCTTTCGTTAAACATGCCCTCTGTCTTCACTCTCTCATCCTTTATTACCCAAGTCAACTCTTGGACTATCATGTAACCCTGGTTTGACTGTTTTTAAAGCAGAGAATTAGGTTATAATGCACTCTGTCACGACATATTTTTATCTAGAATACGTTGACATGTTTTTGTTTGTTTTTTGAGACAGGGTATCACTCTGTCACCCAGGCTCCCAGGCTAGAGTGTAGTGACATAATCATGGCTCACTGTAGCCTCCACCTCCTGGACTCAAGTGATCCTCCCACCTCAGCCTCCCAAGTAGCTGGAACCACAGACACATGCCACACATGCCCAGCTAATTTTTGTATTTTTTATAGAGACAGAGTCTCACCGTGTTGCCCAGGCTGTCTTAAACTCCTGAGCTCAAACAGTCTGCCTGCCTCAGTCTCCCAAAGTGCTGGGATTCTAGGTGTGAGCCACTGCACCTGGCTGTTTTGTTTAATAAGTATTTTTTTTAAAGCCTTGGAATTATGAGACTTTTGTAACTATCTTTTCTAGGCTTTTCTCTCCCTCCTTTCTGAACTATGAGGCTTAGATGTACTTCATTTATTAATTCATTCTTAAGTTTATATTTTTTTATTCTACAATTACTATATCCCCACTCTATGCTAGGTACCATATTAGGTGCTGGGCATTCAGTGTGGATGAAATAAACATAGCCTGCTCAGTTATGGAACTGACAGTCTTGAGGGAAGACAGGCATGAAACAAATACTCAGATTATGAAAGAATTGCTATGGTGATAAGTGCTGCAAAAGAGAAGAAGAGGATGCTATTAGAATGTATCATCAGAGGCCTGCTGGTATGTGGAAGATTGTCAGGGAAAGGGAACGTCATCCTTGAGGAATCGGCATTTAAATCTGAGAACTGATGACTCAAAGGAGTTGGAGAGGTGGGAAGTTAAGAGGAGAGTATTCCTGGTTGTCTTCGTTGTCTACTGCTGTATAACATTACCTAAAAACATGGTGGCTTAAAACAGCAACATTTATTATCTCACAGTTTCAGTAGGTCAAGAATATGGTGGCGGTTAGCTGACTCCTTTGACTCAGGGTCTCTCAAAAGGCTTCAAAGTGGCAACAAGGGCTAAAATGAAGTTACTTAAAGGCTCAACTGGGGATTGACATGCTTTCAATATCACTCAAGTCATTGTTGGCAGGGCTGTTGGACTGAGATCTCAGATCCTCATAAGCTGTAGGTCTTTGCCATCTAAGCCTGTTCTTAAGTAGCTCATAGCCTGGCAGTTGGCTTCATTGGAGTGAGCAAATGAGAAGAGAATGTGCATGGAAGATAGAAGTTAGTCCCTTATAACCTAACGCTGGAAGTGACAGTCCATCACTTTTGCTTTCTTCCGTTTATTAGAAGCAAGTCACAGGGTCGAGCCCATTCTCAAGGGAAGGGGACTGCATGAGGCCCATGAATACAAGAAGGTGAGGATCAATGAGGGCCATCTTAAAAACAGCCTCCCACACTGGCAGAGGGAACTAAATAAAGCCTTGAAGCTGGAAGCAAGGCTCCTTCAAGTTGCTGAGATAAGGCTCTTGTGGGTATAGAGAGGAAAGGTAGAAGGGTGAGATGTGGCTGGAAAATAGGCAAGAACCCCATCATGGAGGGTTCTTAAAGTGTATTAAGGATACAGTTAAGAAGAGTGAGGGTTGTAATTCACAAAGTAGCAGCCTTGAATGGGTACCCTTTGATGGATTTGAAGCAGGCATGTTGTTAAAACTTACCAAGAAATTTTTAAAATTCAAAATATTCAGCAACTAAGGGAATGAAAAGATAAACTATAGGCTGGGAGAAAATATTTGCAAGACACATATCTGATAGAGGACTTATATGCAAAATATACCAAAGAACTTATAAAACTCAACAATATAAAACAAACAACCCAATTAAAAAATGGGCAAAAGATCTGAACAGACACTTCACTAAAGAAGATACACAGATGAGAAATAAGCATATGAAGAGATGCTTGACATCATCTGTCATTAGATAATGGAACTTAAAACAGTAAGATACCACTACACACTTCTTAGAATGGCTAAAACCAAAAAACCTGACAGTACTACATGTTAGTGAAGATGTGGAACATAAGAACTCCTACTCATTGCTGGTAGGAATCAAAGTGGTATCTTAGAAGACAGTTTGGAAGTTTCTTACAAAGCTAAACATACCCATGCACACAAAAACTTGCATTTGAATGTTTATAAAGCAATATAATTTCATAATTACCAAAAACTGAAGCAACCAAGTTATTCTTTAATAGATAAGCTGATAAATTGCAGTACATCCATACAGTGGAATACTATTTGGCAGTAAAAAGGAATGAGCTATCAACTCATGTAAAAATATAGAAGAATCTTAAATGGATACTGTGACACAAAAGACCAGTCCGATATGTATGTATGATTCCAATTATATGACATCCTGGAAAAGGCAAAACTATAGAGATGATAGATCAGTCGTTGCCAGGGGTTCAGGTGAGGGAAGAAGTTTGAATAAGTGAAGTGTGGGGGATTTTTTAGGGTAGTAAAACTGTTCTGTATGACACTGTAATGGTGAACGCATGACACTATGCTTTGGTCAAAATCCTCAGAACTTTGTAGCACAAAGCATGAATCTAAATGTATGCAAATTAAAAAAATATTTAGGCAGTTCAGAAATTTCTGGATGGAAGGCACAATATGACAAAATAATTTAACTTCATTTAGAATGTGGCTAGGTGCAGTGGCTCATGCCTGTAATGCCAATACTTTAGGAGGCCAAGGCAGGAGGATTGCTTGAAGTCAGGAGTCTGAGACCAGCCTGAGCAACACAGCAAAATCCCATCTCTACAAAATAAAACTTAAAAAAAAAAAAAAAGCTGGGCACGGTGGCTCACACCTGTAATCCCAGCACTTTGGGAGGCTGAGGCAGATGGATCACCTGAGGTTGGGAGTTCG